GTTACTGTATGTGTTACTACATGAATGTGTCAGTGAGTTACTGTATGTGTTACTACATGAATGTGTCTGTATGTGTTACTACATGAATGTGTGTCAATGTGTGTTACTGTATGTGTTACTACATGAATGTGTCAGTGTGTTAATGTATGTGTTATTACATGAATGTGTCAGTGTGTTAATGTACGTGTTATTACATGAATGTGTCAGTGAGTTACTGTATGTGTTACTACATGAAGGTGTCAATGTGTTACTGTATGTTTTACTACATGAATGTGTCTGTGTTACTGTATGTGTTACTACATGAATGTGGCAGTTTGTGTTGTGTGTACCTGGCTGCGCTCCTCCTCCAGCTGTGACGTATCATCACACAGCAGCTGCTCCAGAGTCTGGATCACCTCCTTGGTCACCGTTAGCTCTTTCAGACTCACCACCAACATTTGCAGCTCCGTGTCCTTGAAGTCCAGCTGCTCCTGGCTCTCTGTGTCCACACATGTAAGCCAGCACATGTCAACATCTCAACAAGAACATGAATCTTTAAAAATCTTCATCAGAAAACTCAGCATATGTAAACTGGTCAGAAGGACATGTCATGAGAGTGTTGGGTATTTCTTCAGATGTTTGTTGTTTATTGTGTCATTTTTAAAAAATTGTATCAGGATTTTTGTCTCATTTGACAGTTTTGTGTGGTGTGCTGCTCTCAGCAGCTGTCCTGTTTGCTTTGATTTCGGCATGTTTGACAAGCGTACCTTTGGTTTCCAGTTTGTGCACCATAGAAATGTGGTTGAGGGCAATGATGGCAAGCATAGTCTCAGCTCTGGACAGTGTCAGACACTTTTTGAGGACGGCGGTGACATCGCAGGTCACCAGCTGCTCAGCTAGGCTCTTGTGGTTGGAGATGAGCATGATGATGACGAGCAGCCCATTCCTCACTGATGGCATACAGCTGCAGAAATGATGGGTGGTCAGTGTGAGATGGCTGGATACAGGAAAATGAAACTGTGGTACGAACTTACCCTTTGGTCTTCAGCATGAGGTCAATGGCATCAGGAATGGCAGCCAGCAATCCTTTGGAGCCTTCTGGGGTTGCTGAGCCAATGCTGGCAAATATCTCCAGCATCATTTGTGTCCCAGACTCAGAGAGCGGGGTGCAGCTGCCTAAGCTGCGCAGGTCGTGTTTACTGGCACCAGTGATGACCTTCAGGGTCTGGGAGGAAAAGGAGCGTCATCATCATGTCACTAAACATCAAAGCATCACATATCAATTCTCACCGCCAGCGCCAGCTGCTGTATGTGCACCATGGAGGAAAACTCCTGCATGCAGGACAGGATGGCTTTAATCCCACCCTCTGTGGCGAAAGACACCCTCCACTCGTACTTCAGCATAAGAATATGAATGAGTCTCAGCGTGCTGGCCACCACATCTGTGCAGGATGAGCCAAGAAGCTCAACCAGCATCTTCAGCACTTTGTCTCTGTTGGTGACAAAAACAGAGTCAGTGTGTTTCTGTGAGGATGTCCCACAGCCAACTACAAGCCACTACAACCACAAGCCCCTACAAGGTGAGAAGCTCCACAGAGAAACACTAAAAGGAAAATGTCTTTACCAAAAAAATTGTCAGAGAAAGAACTGCAGATATTCTTCTGATCAGAGATGATCAATCATGAGTGTGTCAGGTTTAACGTCTGAACTTACCATACGGCCTGATGGACACTGTATTTCATGGTTTCTTACCGTATGGTCAGAACAGAGTCGCTCCTCATGGAGTTCTTGTCCTGAGAGCTTCTCCTATCCAGCAGCCGGGTTATGAAGAGGACAGCAGCTAGCTGCTGAGCCGAGTCCAAGCTTGAACCCCCTTTTTTCAGAATGTCCACCACTTCATCCAACATCTCCAGGAAGGTCTTCTTCCCATGTACCCGTGGGTTGTTAAACACTGCAGAAAAACAGGACATAGGTTACATCCTGGATGCCACAAACATGGCAAGTAGAAAACACACAAACATCTAGATGAGCTGGAGTGGCTTTATTAAGAAAATGAACTGGTTCATATTCCAGATGACTAAACCAGCCACTAGGGAGCACAAGCCAGTGTAGTCTTGTTCTGGTTCCAAGCCCAGATAAATGGTGAGGGTTGTGTCAGGAAGAGTATTCAACGTAAAACACTTCTGCCAAAACTAATATGCAAGTTCATCTAAGGCAGGGGTGTCAAACTCCAGGCCTCGAGGGCCGGAGTCCTGCAATTTTTAGATGCGTCTCTGATGCCACACAGCTGAATCATATGACTGTATTAGCTTCTCATTGCAGTCAAGTTCTCCATAGTCCTGCTAATGACCTCCTTATTTGATTCAGCTGTGTGGTATCAGAGACTAGAGGATGACATTTTTTTGGGAGTACCGCGGGTCACGTGATTCCGGCCGGATTCCGGCAGGACCGGAGTCAACCTCATTATAACTCACGTGACCGGGACGTGACCGGACTGGTGCTGTGCTGCTTTAAACGTCTTAGCTGCAGCTGCGGCAAGTCGGACTTCGTTTACCGTTAGTAAATAAACTCAAACAGCACATTTTTCTCTACCTTGTCCCCTTTAATTTAAAAATTATGCTCTGCTTTGTTATGTGGGTTTTTAGGTTAAAATCTTCATTATCTGTTGCCGTTTGTAATGTAAAAAAACAACCGAACTCTACCTGTTTAAAGTGCACACATTCTCCGGTAAAAATATTCCTATTTTTATATTGTGTTGTCCTGCTGGATACTGAAATGGAGGAAAACATGAATAACCATCACTTTGTGTAAATAGTTACTGTCGGCTGTAACCATGTCAGTACAACAACAAACTTGTTAGAGTGAAGGCATTCTCCGGTAAAAAATCCCAGTTTTTATATGAAAGACTGGTTACATATATATTATAATAATTGTTTTAGTTTTAGATTTAAGATATGATGTGTACAATTATGTTGTTGTGTTAAATTTTAGAGTTGATTTTTCTCAGTTCAGTTCTTCACACCAGGGGCGATTCTAGAAGCCCTTTTTAGGGGCCCTAGCCCCCTAGTGTTGACAATGGCTCTTGGCTTGAACAACACAGTGTGTATTAGCATTAGAATTATTGTAGGGGGGACATATTGGTGTGAGGTCTGTGGGTCCTCCACCATAACTTTTTGAATAAAGTAGCTGCTATTTCCTGCATTCTGGTGTATTTTAACAGGTTTTAAAACATCTACGTTTACCTACATAAGTAAATCCTTTTTCTTAGGTAATCCTTTGGTAAAAATATAACATGATGCAAAAATATTTGATACAGTAAAGAACCTAAAATTATTGTTTTATTTCATATAGGCCTCGCCCTTTAAGGCTGTTGCTAGTGGGTTTTATCCCATCGCGCGCAGCGCAGCACTGAAAACTTTAGTCCACGCCCACCTGCTGTGTGGGCCTCACCCTCGGTCCGTATAAATTACGATGAGACCGGGTAATCGGCTCAAATTTTTCTTCAGCAAGCAACCAGCACTGTTTTTTACAAGAACAACGATGTCCAGCACCATACGCCTGTGCCCGTCCTGCAAAACCGGCTACATGCTGAGTTTCAACCGGCACGACATCTGTGAAGGATGTCTGGGTCCCCGCCACACCAACCTCGCCTCCTCCTGCCATCTCTGTGACCTCTTCCCTCCTAAGGAGAGGCAGAGGGGAGCAGCCTTGTTCAAGGCTAACATCGAGGAGTGCCTCTCCATGATGGGGGACTGTTCGTTGGACAACGCCATCGCCCTTTTTGACGCAGAGTCGCGACGTCAGCAGCAGCAGCCCCGCTGCTCATTCCCTCCTGGAGAGCGTAGTGTTGGAAGAGGGGGGGCCGAGCAGATGCTCACCCTGCCGGGCCTTTCCGCATCGGCGAACACACCGCTCCCAGCCGTTGGTGCTCTCCTCTCGAAGCTGCCCGGCATAATCCAGGAGGCGGCTGATACGAAGGGACTTTCCCTCCCTCTCCTCGCTCCGCCCATATCAGATGATCTAGCGGGAAGGTTTGGCTCCACCCCGGCTCACTGCCCTGACCCCATCTGGCCTCGTTTCCCAGCAGTGACGTCCTACTGGAACAAGGCTGCAGCCGGACCTGGTAAGCTGAAGGCGCCCATCTCCACATTCGCTCCCATCACCAGAGTGGAAGGATTTACTGAGCGGAACTTTCCCTCGGTACCCCCCCCTGGAGCCAAGCCTGGCGGAAGCACTTGGAGCAAAAGTGCCCAGGCTGGACCAACGTCTTGTCCCTCCAGAGAGACACAACCAGATGGTGACGTCGCTCTCCAATCCAGCCCACCAGTGTGCTTTCCAGGCGGCCGCAGCAAACAACAAGGTCGCCATGCTGACCTAAAGCATCTCCAAAAGGCTGGAGGACACAGACCTGCCTGAGGAGATGAGGAGCTCGCTCTGCAAAGCGTCTGACGTCATCCTCAACCTGTGCGCCTCTTCTGCGGTCTGCCCGTCTCGCATCGCCGCCTGGATGACAATGATCTAGAGGAAGAAGCTGCGCAAACCAAATCGCTGACGTCACACCTGTTAAACCTGGGTTTCGCCATAAACTGGGAGAAGAGTTCGACTCTCCCGGCTCAGATGATCGTTTATCTGGGAGTGGAGCTAAACTCAGTCACTATAAGATCTCGCTTATCACAGCCGAGAGCCAAAGCTCTAAAGGACGAGCTCTGTCGCGTAAAACCCAGCAGAGTAGTAACGGCCGTCTCTATCATGAAACTTTTGGGAACGATGTTGTCAGCTCACGCTGTGGTTCCACTGGGCTTACTCCACATGAGACATCTTCAGAGATGGTTCGCTCGCCTGCGCATAGATCCGGTATGTCAGAAGAGGCGGATGATCTATGAGCCCCCCTCCGTGGGAACCGACCTGAATCACTGGGAAAACCCTCTCACTCTGTCAGAGGGAGTTCTTATCTGCAGACCTATGTCACACGTCTCAGTTTTCACAGGCGCGTCCCTGTCAGGCTGGGGAGGAACGTGCCTGTCTCAAGCGGTGGGGGAACTGTGGCCACCTCACACATCAGCTCATATAAACATTTTGGAATGTCTCACAGTTTGGAATGTGATTTAGCATTTTGCTCCACTGTTGCGGAATCAACATGTTCTGATCCACACAGACAACAAAGTGACTGCAGCTTACATAAACCGGCAGGGGGACGTGCGCTCAGCCCAACTGTTACACATTGCGAGACAGCTGTTGTGTTGGGCACACAAAAAACAGCTCTCCATCAGAGCAGTGTACATCCCCGGCATCCTGAACAGAGGGGCGGACATAATGTCCAGGGGCGGTCCGCGCCACGAGGACTGGAGTCTCCATCCCGAGTTGATTTCTTGGATTTGGAGCAGATTTGGCCGAACAGCAGTGGATCTGTTCACCACACAGGAGAACGCCCAGTGTCAATTATGGTTCTCACTGAGCCCACCGGACAACCCACCGTTAGGAGTGGACACTTTTGCCCAAAGCCCGAGGCCAAAAATGTTCCTTTACACGTTTCCTCCAGTCCCTCTAATACCATAGTTTCTGAACCGAGTCCGGGAGGAAGAACTGTCAGCCATTCTTGTAGCCCCTGAGCGCGTAAGTGTCCCGTGGTTCCCAAACCTGCAACGTCTGTTATCGGATCGACCGTGGAAACTGCCGTGGAGGAACGATGCTCTCCTCCAGGCGGGAGGAGCAATCAGGAGTCACCCAAAAATAGGCCAGCACCTTTGGGTCTGGCCGCTGAGCGGATCCACTTAGAGAAGATTGGCCTCTCTCAGGAAGTGGTGCGCACAATCTAAGACTCACAAGCCGCTTCCACCACAGCGCTGTACACATCAAAGTGGACAGCTTTTCAGCGCTGGTGCATGGAGAAAGGTGTAGAGGTCATCTCATGTCCACTAGGTGGCATGCTGTCCTTTCTGCAGCAGCTGATGGACAGAAATCTAGCGTTCAGCACAATTAAAACTTATGCTGCAGCTATTTCCTCCTGTCATGAAGGCTTCGGTGACAGAACAGTTTTTAATCATCCGCTGATGAAGCGTTTTCTAAAAAGTGTACGAAGACACAGACCGGTGTCATGCCCACTAGCTCCACAGCGGAACCTAACAATGGTTCTGCAAACTCTGATCAAAGCTCCTTTTGAGTCTTTAGATCAGGTGTCACTCACAATTCCTGTCACTTAAAACAGCCCTGCTGTTGGCTTTGACATCAGCGAAGAGAGTGAGCGATTTAGCTGCACTCTCTGCTGCCCCATCATGCCTCAGGATTCAGGCTGATGGCAGCTCAGCTGCGCTGAGACCAAACCCAGCTTTCATGCCCAAAAACATCACAAGTTCATTCAAATCGAGAATGATAACATTGGAGGGGTTTTATCCTCCCCCTCACAAATCAAAAGAAGCATCTTTTCATCTCCTCTGTCCTGTGCGAGCGCTGGCATGTTACATAACACACACGGCTCCTCTGCGGCAGACTCAGCGTCTTTTTGTGCATTATAGAGACGTCTTTGCAGGTTGCCCATTATCCACCCAGCGTCTTTCACACTGGCTGTGTGAGGCTATTTCTGAGGCTTACAGAGCATTAGGATTGGAGCCTCCAGAGACTGTCAGAGCTCATTCCACCAGAAGAATTGCATCTTCGACAGCTTTGCATAGTGGTATGACAGTGGAGGACATTTGTATGGTGGTCGCTTGGACATCGCCTTGTTCATTTATCCGTTTCTATCTGCATGATGTTTCGGCCTTTTCCATGGCCCATTCTGTTCTTAGTGTTTTAACAGAATGAATATTACTGTTTTCATGGAATTTTGCTTTAAACTCACATCTGACTACATGCAATTACAGTGTGAGATATGTAGTGAGTCACGTGGTACGTGTCACTTGTTGTATGACAAATATATGTGGTATATATTTATGCATACTTTTCACGAGTTCCTCA